AGAATCTCCAAGGGATGGGGGTAGGCCAAGGTTTTGAAAATGGTATAGGTGCTATATATTCTAAGCAAAAAGCAAAGTTGATTGTGAACAATGTGGTTACGGAAGAAATACCTATAGAAAAAGGTACATGACAGGGATGCCCAATATCCCCCTTACTTTTTATAACAGTCCTGGAGGTTTTGTTAAACATGATTAGAGGGGACCAATTGGTCAAAGGAGTCCAGGTCGGAGCCAGAAATTACAAACTAAGGGCATTTGCAGATGACCTGGTATTGACTTTGCAACAGCCAGATACTAGTACCAAAAGAGTATTAGAATTAATTGAGATATTTGGTCAGGTAGCAGGATTTAAACTGAACAAACAAAAAACTAAAGTGTTGGAGAAAAATCTAACAATGGCAGAAAAAGAGAAGTTTCAGAGTGAAACAGGTTTAGTAATAACAAAAAAAGGTGAAGTACCTGGGTGTGAACTTGACTTCTAAAAATGTGAATTTATTTAAGGACAATTATGATAAATGCTGGACAGAAGTGAAGAAAGATCTAGAAACATGGTCAAGGTTGAAACTTTCCTTGTTAGGTCGAATTGCTGTTATTAAGATGAATGTATTGCCTAGAACAGTGTTCCCCAACCGGTGTTCCGCGGCACACTAGTGTGCCGCGAGATGTTGCCTGGTGTGCCGCGAGCGAGTCCAAAAAAGGTTGGGAAACACTGGTTTCTCTTTCAAAAAGGAAACGTGGGTTAAAGCGGCGACGCCGCCTCCCACTCACTTTCCTGCTCTGGCTTCCCTAACAGTTTTCCGAGTTGCGTAACTGGATCCAGCCCCCTTTTCCACATGTGACACGGGAAAGGGAAAGGCCTTTGAGGCACCAGCGCGAGAGGCTGCAGCCTGGGAATTCCCTCGCCCTGCCCAAGGGAAAGGCAATGGCCGGCCCCACCAGGGAAGCACAGGAACTCTGGGCTCGCTTTCGTTCGGCCCACCTGGCTGGGCCCTTCTTTGCTCCTCCCTACCACAGAGACGAAACCGCTTCTCGCTCGGTATTCGGGCCAGCCAAAGAGGTGCCGAGGGGCAGAGCACCCGGGCCAATGGCGCTGTCTTATTGACCGGAACTTCCGAGGTGAGCGTGCGGTTGGCCGCTCTAGGCTTTCCCCGCCCCTTCTCTCTCGGCGGCGCCTGGACTTGCGAGGAGAAGCCGGAAGCTGCGGGACTTGGGGCCACTCGGGTCTCCGTCTCCCTCGCCTGCCTCCTCTCCATGGCACCGGGCAGCGGGGGACCCGCCAGTCCCCGGAGCCGCCTCCGCAGCGGGACGGCAGCAGCGGCGATGGCGGAGCGGAGGCGGCGCCGAGGAGTGCGGTGACGCCGCCTCTGCCGCTCCCGCCGCTGCGCCTCCTCAGGCCCGGCCTGGGCGCCCTCCGCCATGGGCTCCCTCTTCCGCAGTGAGGCGATGTGCCTGGGGCAGCTCTTCCTCCAGGCGGGCTCGGCCTACGAGTGCCTCAGCGCCCTGGGCGAGCGCGGCCTCGCCCACTTCCGAGACGTGAGTTGAGACGCGCCTGCATTTGGTGCTTCATGGAATTGATACGCTGCTTGATTGTCGGGATGTTGTTTTTATTCCAGACACTCCAGATCTTGGACAAGATGGACTGTTTCAAGAGGTGGCAAAAAGATATATCCAAGTTTGTCTGGCAGGGCAAAAAACCCAGAATAAACTTTAAGATCTTAACTGATGCAAAAGATAGAGGGGGGGTTGCCCTGCCGGACCTGAGACTTTATTATGAATCGGCAGCGTTCTGCTGGTTGAAACAATGGCTGCTTCTTGAGAACACAGACATTTTGGATCTGGAAGGGTATGACAATAGATTTGGTTGGCATGCATATATATGGTATGACAAGGTAAAAATACATAAAGGTTTCAAAAACCATATTGTCAGGAAAGCACTATACAATGTTTGGATAAGATACAAAGATCTATTGGAAAGTAAAACTCCCAGGTGGCTATCACCAATGGAAGCTAAAGAGACAAAAAAACTTAATATGGAGTCCAAATGGCCAAGATATTGTGAAATCTTAGAGCAAGATGGTGAAAGGGTTAAATTACAGAGTTATGACAAATTAAAGTCTAAAGTACGAGATTGGTTGCACTACCTTCAGATAAACGAGGTATTCAAACAGGACAGGAAAATAGGTTTTCAGATGGAGAGGTCGAAATTAGAAACAGAATTGTTAGAACCCAATACTAAGAACTTGTCAAGAATGTATAATTTGCTGCTGAAATGGAATACGCAAGATGAAACAGTAAAATCAGCTATGATCAAATGGGCACAAGACATAGGTCATGACATTATGTTTGATGACTGGGAAAGGTTATGGAATACTGGTGTTAGGTTTACGGCTTGTAATGCTTTGAGAGAAAACATAATGAAAATGATCTATAGGTGGTACATGACCCCAGTCAAACTTGCAAAAATTTACCATTTGCCCAATAATAAATGTTGGAAATGTAATGAGACTGAAGGTACTTTCTATCACCTTTGGTGGACCTGCCCGAGGATTAAAGCCTACTGGGAAATGATCTATAATGAAATTAAAAAGGTCCTTAAATGGACATTTTCTAAAAAACCAGAGGCTTTTCTCCTGGGCATGGTGGGCCAATTGGTGCCAAGGAAGGACAGAACTTTTTTCATGTATGCTACCACAGCAGCAAGAATTCTTCTGGCAAAGTATTGGAAGACACAGCAGCTACCCACTCTGGAAGAATGGCAAGCGAAGGTGATTGACTACATGGGAATGGCAGAGATGACCGGCAGAATCCGTGATCAGGGGAGTGAGACAGTGGAAGAAGATTGGAAGAAATTTAAAATATACCTTAAAAATTGTTGTAACATTGAAGAGTGCTGAGATGTTATGGTGTTAAGAAACAGAGAATTGCAGCTGTAAATCATAAATTTAAGGAAATTATAATGAAGATGAGTTAATTAATTAAATGAAGGGTTGCTGTTAAAAGGGAAAAATAAGGATGCAGAAAAAGGGAGGTATGGGGAAGTCCGGGAAATAAGGTGAAGGAAAATAAGTTTAGGAAATTATACATGTTTATTTGTTTGTATGTTTTGTTTTGTTTTATTGTTTGTTTTTATTACATGTTTGGAAAATTAATAAAAATTATTTTTAAAAAAAACAAAACCACTGTATTTGCTATCAATGAATCAATTCGAAACACAGATTTTAAGAAATGAGTGGAACAAAGAATTGGATGTTCCTGTATTACCTAGATAGTGGGAAAGTGTTTCAGCTTCCTTAGTAAAGGTGTCTATGGATCTGAAATGATAACTTATGCAACAGAAAATGTTTACAATCTACTGGACTCCATTATGTTTATATAGAAAAAGACTGTCTAAACCAGCATGTTGTTTGATATGTAATAAACATAATGCTTCTTTAAAACACATTGACAATCACTTACTAAGTTTTCAGAGAAAGTATTGGATTGTATAAACATGACTGTGCAGAATTGGTTAGAATTTTCAGAGGTAAATATTCTATTGAATTATGTACCTACTATATGAAATTTGACAAGTAGACAATATAAATGGATTTTTTGTGCCCTTACTAAAAAGGTAAAGGATCCCTGGACAGTCAAGTCCAGTCAAAGGTGACTACGGGGTGCGGCACTCAACTTGCTTCAGGCCGAGGGAGCCAGCATTTGTCCACAAACAGCTTTCCAGGTCGTGTCACCAGCATGACTAAACCACTTCTGGTGCAACGGAACACCGTGACAGAAGCCAGAATGCACAGAAACACCATTTACCTTCCCGCTGCAGCAGTACCTATTTATCTACTTACACTAGTATGCTTTTGAACAGAGCAACAGGAGCACACCACCGTCATGCGGATTGGAACTGCCAACCTTCCGACCAGCAAGCCAAGAGGCTCAGTGGTTTAGACCACAGTGCCACCTGCATCTCTCGCCCTTACTATGGCCAAGAGACTGATACTGATGCACTGGAAGGATAAATCTATGGCCTCTTTTAGTCAATGGATTAAGGATATGGCAACACTTGAAACTTATGGATTGCTTATAGTTATAGTTATAGACTTTGTATGGACAAGTATAAAGATATATGGAACGTGTTTATAAAAAACATAGGTTATAAATAATTATATATATATATACATACATACACACACACACACACACACACATATATATATGTAACATTTATATACCTATATACTAGGCAAGCATATACAGTGGTGCCTCGCAAGACGAAAATAATCTGTTCCGCAAGTCTCTTCGTCTAGCGGTTTTTTCGTCTTGCGAAGCAACCCTATTAGCGGCTTAGCGGATTAGCACTATTAGCGGTTTAGCGGCTTAGCGGCTATTAAAGGCTTAGCGGCTTAGAAAAGGGGGGGGGAAATCGCAAGACTCGCAAGACGTTTTCGTCTTGCGAAGCAAGCCCATAGGGAAAATCGTCTTGTGAACCAACTCAAAAACGGAAAACCCTTTCGTCTAGCGGGTTTTTCGTCTTGCGAGGCATTCGTCTTGCGGGGCACCACTGTATGGAGTTATAGCTGCTTGAATATATAGTGATATAATATATGTTCACCCACCTTTACTTCTTTTTTATTATTATTTTCAGTATATTTTGTTCAATTGAAATATTCTCAATAATAATAATAACTCATGTTTGTTCAATGACAGGCTGGAAATGGGAAAGTAGGAAACTATGGTTCAAAAAGGCTGTGTGCTAGTTGGAGTGGGAAGGCATTCAGAAGCAGCCTAGATAGCACAAAATCTACATGGCTTTAAATTGCAGGGACTATCATCCTATATACAGACAAAGTTATAGGTTTGTTATTGAAGGAAAGGTAGTTGGAAGGCAGTAGCTGACAGAATTGTCTAGATTTTGGTTCGTGTTTCTGCCCTAGCGCTCCTATGTGAGTTTCTCAGGTGAACGATATGCTTAGTTTCCAATACTCTTGGGTCTTTAGGATGACATCTCTTACCTGAGCATGAAAGTTTGAAATGGTTGTTGTTTCAATATCCTTCTTGCCAAGGATTTCCATTTTGACTGGAGTGTTAGGAAAATTAAAAGCAAAGTAATCCAAGAAGTCTGGCAAGTAGGCAGCTGCCCCATGAACTATAGCTAGAGCATAGTATGCTGCATTTTTCTCATTTTCACTGAATGTCAAAGCAAGAAACTCTTCTGCAAATCTCTCCATCTCCACTGGAGACAAAAATGAGAGTTCATCCATGTAGGCATGAAGAACCAGAGCTCCTCCATTTGACTGACGCTCTTCATGAATAAAGTTACTAAATTTAGTGCCTGTTTTTAAGAAGCTGCTGCGAACAGAATGCTCCTGGTGTGTAGTAAATGGAGACTGCACCCCCTGGGGTATCCTATATTCCTGCATGCCCAAATTCAACTGACACAGCTGCTCATCTTTTAGGTACCTAAAAGATTCCTTATTTTCTTCCAAGTTATCACTCTCCCCTGGAGTCAAAATCTCTTTGTTGATACGGGTAAGACCAGCACACACAGTCTGCACTTCTTTATTATACATTTTCAGATGCCTCCCCCTCATATCTTCTCTGTGTTTCTTTTTCTTCTTTTTCTTTATTTTCTTTACAATAAGACTGTCAGCTCTCTGGGTCTTGCCATTTTCATCTCGGCTTTCTAGAAATAATAAGAAAATTAGAATTCTATTGTTGCACCATAAAAATAGTCAAGAACATTAGGAAGAAAAGCCCTGACCCACCTCCCGGACACTCAGTGTGAAAATCTTCACAGTTTTCAGTGCTTGGATATATCAGGTTGGGAATTTGGGTCTCAGAAAGAGAACATATTATGACACCTTCAAGACTAGCAAACTTAATATGTCCTAAGTGTAAGGTACTGTGAGACTTTTTTGGCTGGAATAGACTAACCTCTGAAAAGATTTTCAGTAAGTTTGGGGGGGGGGAGTTACTGCATTGCTTTACCTTTGAAAATCAAGACAGTAGGTTTACAGAAAAAAATGAGCTACTTTCTGCATTATTAAGTGCTCCTGTATGTGATTTATACAACACATAGCAGTTCAAGAAGGATTTGTTTACACATTTATCTGTTAGTTATACAGTAGTATGTCAAGCCTATTTGAGAATTGTGAGCAGGGCTGTTTTGATGCTGTAATTCTATAACAGGCATAGGCAAACTCGGCCCTCCAGATGTTCTGGGACTACAACTCCCACAATCCCTAGCTAACAGGACCAGTAGTCAGGGATGATGGGAATTGTCTCCCAAAACATTTGGAGGGCCGAGTTTGCCTATGCCTGTTCTATAATGGAAAATTCAGATAAAATAAGCTGAGCTTGAGAAGTGATGAGCAATTACTGGTAAACTTTCAAAAGGTAAAGGTAAAGGGACACCTGACCATTAGGTCCAGTTGTGACCGACTCTGGGGTTGCAGCGCTCATCTCGCTTTATTGGCTGAGGGAGCCGGCGTACAGCTTCCAGGTCATGTGGCCAGCATGACTAAGCCACTTCTGGCAAACCAGAGCAGCACACAGAAATGGCGTTTACCTTCCCGCCGGAGTATTTATCTACTTGCACTTTTTGACGTGCTTTCAAACTGCTAGGTTGGCAGGAGCAGGGACCGAGCAACGGGAGCTCACAAAAAGGTAAAAAAAGGTAAAGGTACCTCTGCCCGTACGGGCCAGTCTTGACAGACTCTAGGGTTGTGCGCCCATCTCACTCAAGCGGCCGGGGGCCAGCACTGTCCGGAGACACTTCCGGGTCACGTGGCCAGCGTGACATCGCTGCTCTGGCGAGCCAGAGCCACACACGGAAACGCCGTTTACCTTCCCACTAGTAAGCGGTCCCTATTTATCTACTTGCACCCGGGGGTGCTTTCAAACTGCTAGGTTGGCAGGCGCTGGGACCGAGCAACGGGAGCGCACCCCGCGCGGGGATTCGAACCGCCGACCTTTCGATCGGCAAGCCCTAGGCGCTGAGGCTTTTACCCACAGCGCCACCCGCGTCCCACACAAAAATGTAGAGTGGTGCTAAAAGATTTCTAGTGCCTGGGGGTAGTGCTTCAGTACTTTATATAGCCTCTCATCCCTCCTATGACCAGCAAACCCAGAACTAAGCATTACAGTAAACAATTAATTAAGCACAATGGCTCCTGGCAGTCTCCAGGTTAGCTTATTGTTTATTGCAGTGTGGTGGACTCAATTAAAAGTAATGGATTTGCCATTTAACTCACTTCACAGCCTGGGATCGGGATACCTGAAGGAGCGTCTCCACCCCCATCGTTCTGCCTGGACACTGAGGTCCAGCACCGAGGGCCTTCTGGCGGTTCCCTCACTGCGAGAAGCAAAGCTTCAGGGAACCAGGCAGAGGGCCTTCTCGGTAGTGGCGCCCGCCCTGTGGAACGCTCTCCCATCAAATGTCAAAGATATAAACAACTATCTGACATTTAGAAGACAGCCCTGTTTAGGGAAGTTTTTAATGTGTGATATTTTGATATATTTTTAATCTTTGTTGGAAGCCGCCCAGAGTGGCTGGGGAAACCCAGCCAGATGGGCAGGGTACAAATAATATATTTTTATTATTATTATACCTTAGGGGCTACACAGAGAGAGATCTTAAACAAGGACCCTTCTTTGGGTGCCCCCATCATAGGCGTAGCCGGGGGGCAGGGAGGGGCAGCTGTCCCTCCCCAAATCAATAAAATTCAATAAAAATACATAGTAAACTGAGGTTCTGCCCCCCCCAACAAAAGGCCTGCCCCCCCAAAAAAAATCATGGCTATGCCCATGGCCCCATATCTGGGGCATGGTGGGCTACATGAGAAAGAGATTAATAAGTGGTGACATCTCAACTGTGGAAAGCTCTTCCGGCTTCACTTGGCATGTCCCTTAATACTTATATTGCCAAATTTTTATAATTTTTATAATTATCAAAAAAATATTGTTACAGTATCTAGAAAATATTTGTTACAGTATCTAGAAAGTTTGTGGGAGAGACAATCAGAGCCTTAGGCTGCAGTCCTAAATGTATTTACTTAAAATTAAGTCTAGTTTATTACAAAGGGGCATATTGTTGAGCAGAAGTGGTTAGGAATAGACTGTTGCGGCTACATTAGGAGCTTACTGCCAAGATAGATAAGACACCTCTTGTCATGTCTAGTTTGGACCTTAAGAGACAGGTACTCATAATCCTGTTCTTTAAATAAACATAATTTGAAAATGGAACACAATCCAGAGAATATTAGGTGAATCCAGGTGGCAATCCAACATCCAATTACTAGAATATAAGACCTATAAAACCAATGCTACAATCCTATGTACACTAAAGTAAGCCTGAATAATTTAATGGATGTTACTTCTGTGTAAACAGACATCTATAGGATCATGCATCATATTCTCAATGGGATGGAATGATCCTGGGAAATTTAGTTTACACACCCTCCAGTACTATACTATACAGTGGTACCTCGGGTTAAGTACTTAATTTGTTCTGGAGGTCCGTTCTTAACCTGAAACTGTTCTTAACCTGAAGCACCACTTTAGCTAATGGGGCCTCCTGCTGCTGCCGCACCGCCAGAGCATGATTTCTATTCTCATCCTGAAGCAAAGTTCTTAACCTGAGGTACTATTTCTGGGTTAGCGGAGTCTGTAACCTGAAGCGTATGTAACCCGAGGTACAGTACTATACAGTACTATACTATACGAATGGGGAAATTCCTGTGCATTAATGGGGAGGAAAAAGCCAGTGGTGTGGCCTCACAGGCGATATGATCATATGTGCCACCAACAGAAACTATGAATGCATGCAAGCAATTGGCACCAATAATGAAAAGCAGTGTGGCAAGCCAGATACTACAAGTTAATTCATATGCACAAAATACTACCTATGCCAGTTAGAGGATATGATCACTCTGGGGAATTTTCTAGTGGCAAAAGTTGGCAATCCTGCATAGATCGTGGTATGGCCACTCTAGAAAAAAACCAACCTGGCCTGAATGGCATTCAACAACTACTGTTCAGTTGCAAACATCCGCTTTTTTGCCAAGGCGCTTGAAAGAGTTGTAGCAGTGCAACTGCAGAATTCTTGGAGAAAACAGATTACCTAAACCCATTCTAATCCGGAGCCCAGGTTTGGGACTGAATCAGTTTTGGAAGTCTTCATTAATTACCCTAATCAAGAGGACAGGGAAGCCATGACTCTGCTGCTAGTGTTCAATCCCCCAGCAGCTTTTGACATTATTAAGCATAGCATTTATGGGAGATGGGTATCAGGGAACTGTTCGGCAATGGTCCTGATCTAATCTCCTGGCACAGTTCCAGAAGATGCCATTAGATGAATTCTTCTCACCCCCTTGTTCTTGCTGCAGGGCATTGTCTCCAATGTTATTTAATGTCTTTATGAAGCTTCTGGGAGCAGTCATTAGGATCGAGGTGTCACCAGTATACTGATGATACCAAACTATTTCTCCGTAGTACCTGAACTGAGAATGGCTGAGCAGGCCTTGGATGCAATGGTGGGCTAGATGAGAACTAAGTCCAAATCCTGGCAAGATGGAGGCTCTACAGGAGAGTGGTTCCTGAGCCCCAGGAGCGGGTAAGTTCCTGCTCTGGATTGGGTCACGTTTCCCTGAAGGAGCAAGTGCATGCTTTGGGGGTGTTCCTAGTTCTAGCTCTGTCACTAGTGCCACAACTGTCACCTGTGAATAGAAGTTCGTGTTTATCAGCTTCGGCTGGTAAGACAACTGTGGTTGTCATTAGATTGGAATAGCATATGTGGGGATATGCCGTATTTTTCACTCCATAAGACGCACTTTTTTCCTCTTAAAATCTAAGGGGAAATGTCTGTATGTCTTATGGAGCAAATGTGTGGTCCCTGGGGCTGGGGGGGGCAGGCTTCCCCCGCCAGCCCCGACCTGCTCTTTGGGGCTGGGGGTGGGGGAAACCCAGGCTTCCCCTGCCAGCCCCACAAGCCCTGGGGAGGCTTTGCGTGGCTATCCTTGGCTTTTGCGGGAGGTGGGGGAAGGGACAGAGCAAGGCTCTCTCACTTTCCCTACCTCCCGCAAAAGCCCCCAAGAGCCGTACTCCCTTTAAAGAGCCGCGCAGAGTGTGTGTGTGGCTCTTGGGGGCTTTTCCCTTCTCCCTCCTCAGGGAAAAGCCTGCAAGCGCCGCACACAGGCTCCACGCGGCTCATAAAAGCGAGCGCTGAGAAGAGCCTGGGATGCATACAGGCTCTGCTCAGCACTCCCTTTAAATAAAATTTTTTTCTTGAATCCCCCCCCCCCAATGAAGACTTCCAAAGCCTTATGGCACGAAAAATACGGTACTTGAAGTTGGTCTAAAGCTTAATTGGGCTTAATGCGCCCCGCTGGTCGGTTTAATCCAGCTCCTGTGGCAGTTTATCTCCTGGGGTAAAATCTTTAAAAAACGCTCAACAACTTACTTCAATCCTAAAAAAAGCTCATGCTCACTTCATCAAATCTGGCCCTCTTTCAAAAAGGTTTGGGCACCCCTGAGTGCAGCTAATGTAGATCACAGTAGCAAGGTTGCTTGAGGGGGCAAACTACCACCAGCATAACACACCGCTACTTTATTTACATGATTTGAAGTGGCTGCCTGATACCACACCAAGTTCAAGGTACTGGTACTAACATAAAAGGCCCTATA